TACAGCTGAAAGACTGTACAGTACCGATTTTCAGATCTTATGATTGATAGAAATTGTAGAAGATATAAAGATATATATAAAAAAAGGGGTGGAAAAAGTAAAGAGGAGGCATTTCGAGCACGAATATTTTCGATTTTTTCCTAGTTTTTCTAAAAGACGGATTTAAATACACTACACTCTCGCTAATCCGGCCGTTAATAATACGGCCTTCAATTATCTCGCTTTGTCTCTCATTTTCTGTGTGTGTGTGTGTTTTTTTTTAAATACAAACAATAAACTTGTAAGTTAGATTTAATAAAGAATTAAGCGTACAATTACATAAGTTTACAATAACAAAACAGCACAACTCCAAATAATACAGCACAGAAGAGTAACAGGCCACCACCATTCATTACCTGTAGTGATGTGCCGGATCGTTAAAAATGTATATCCGCGGATACGGATACGGATACGGATCATTCGTGTCTAGATCCGCGGATACGGATACGGATACGGATATCCGGCACATCACTAATTACCTGTAGGCCTGTTACTCGCTTAATTAACTGGCATACATGCCAGAAATGCCGGATTAGCAAGAGTGTAATGTATCTAAATAGCTGTGTTAAATTTAAATTTTATCGCTTGATTTTAATTAATAACTGCGATTTTTTTTTTTGTTAAGTTTTATTCGTTAGTGTTTGAATAGTTTCTAAAATTGTATAACTGTTTATCTTATTAGAAATCTTTTTAAAAGAAGTTATTACTTTAAAAATCAGATTAAAAAGTAAAGATTTGTGTTTTCCCGTTCTTAATTTGACCATCAACTTTGTTTTACTTAATCCCAAGACGGTTTCATTGATTGCAATCGTTAGTCTTTGACGCCTGGCTGACCAGATTGCAATTCTAACGCACTACTATAGTCATTAATTTCGGGTTTCTTTTTATATATTTANGGACCACCAATGGAGAGAACGGAAAAATAATGATTGATAGTTAGAATGAGTCACTTCTGATCCGCTGGGTGATTATCTCGTGTTTAAAATGTGGAAGAGAAATGGATCAGATTAGAATGTTATGTTTATTATACAGATATTTTATATAAATATATCAGTAGAGATTATAATTAGGGGGAGAGATTAAAAGTAAGGATAAAGAGATATATTTTTATTGATTCATTTTCTCTCTCAATCCCAAGATGTAAATTTGAAAGAAACAAAGAAAAAAAAAAACATAATATTTAACTGTAATTATTATTGTAAATTCTAAAAGATACTCGAGAAACTTTTTCCTCCCACCGCATAGAACTGGTGCGAGATAAATATGCAATTTATAGGCCGGCATATTAAATTATGCTAACAAGTATGCTGATATATGATGTAATTGTGAGAACAGTGACGTAACGAGGGAGAATGGAAGAGGCATATCTGAAAGGCCATTATGAACTCTTGTAAAAAATTAACAAAAAAGTCAATTTATTATTGAAAACGTTTTAAAAAATTCGCCATTTTATCCATCAGTGCATGCCGTTAAGACACGCATAATTATAAGCCCTATATATACATATATAGACCCCGGGCGCCGCAAATCCACAATTGATCTCTCATCTTTGTATGAGAGATCAATTAGTTTAAAAATGTCTTTTCTGATTGTCTTTTCGGCATTTTTCTCATAACGTTAATAGTCGATGTACCAAAGAAAAGATGAATTCTTTTCCCCGTTTTTTTCTCGATAAATTCCAAAATAAGGATAAAGAAATAAAGAGGAAAGGCATGATTGGAGGTTTTTTTCCTCTCTTGTTATGTCAAAAAAATTGATCAAAGAGAAGATTTGCAGATTAAATCACACTTCAGTTACGAATGGCAAAATACAGAATGATTCTTTTGATTTAGTCATATCATTGATTTAATACTGGTGAATAACTTGATTTAATTATCAATATTTCATGACAGTGAATAAATTAACGTTGAAAAGGTCACGTTAAATCAAAATTTGTGATAATGAAATATAATTCTAGAGAATTTTATCTCTCTCTCTGTCTCTCTCTCTCACCCTCCCTCCTTAATGAAAACATAATTATACAGTAGACCCCCCCCTATAACGCTTAGATACGTTCCACGCTATACGAATTTCGCGTTATAGGAATCCTTAAATACATGAGCCAATCACAGCCTAAGGATTCCTACAACACGAAATTCGTATAACGAGGAACGTATCTTCGCGTTATAGGGGTGTCTACTGTAATAATAAAATTCCAAAAGTTTAACAAAACTAATATAAAGTCTAAATTTCAAATATTATAATACAATGTCATAATAAAAATATTAATTTTAATTAAAATATTTAGTTTGAAACATATTGAAAATAGATAAGTAATAAAAATTCATGGTTGCGATTGTCAGCAATCTACTCCGAAAGGTTTCAATGGAATCGATCTTACTCGAGATGTGAAAGTAAATTAAATGGCTATAGAAGAAGTTAGAAACATTATAACAGGAAAGAAATCAACGTTAGAAGCTATTTTAATTGTTATTCATGACGATAATTATCTAAAAGTTGCAGAAAAGTTTTGATTACACTTCAAGGCGCGGCATATAGTACCGTACATAGAAAAGACGCAAAATGATAAATCATATTTAAACTTATATTTTATATAATAAGCTTGTAAACTTTTTTTTTCCCTTTCTTCTTGAAAGATTAAAAGGGATTGCACAACCTAATTATATTTATTTATGTTCAGAAATCGCTTCTTTCTTCAAATTACGCGATCTACCAGACAACTTTCATCAATCATCTTTAAACGAACTAAATTTTATCGGGTCTACTTGTTATTAATTTTTAAACAAATATAAGTTTTTTTTTTTTTTCTAAATAAAAATAAAAGTTTAAGTTAATATATTAATATATTAAAATTCATTATAAACAGCGGATGAAGTTCAGAGAAGATGCATACGGGGAAAGATGGCCACTTGTTAAAAGTCTCCATATATATATATATATTTTACAATAATTCAAATATCGAACATCTTACTGAATTACTGTAAAGTAGACCCTCTATAACACTGTTAATAATTCGTTTTATATGAATTCCATGTTGTACGAGTCACTTAGATTTTACAAATATGTGTGCCGGGCTGTGAATGGCTCACGTATTTGTAAAATCTAAGTGATTCGTATAACATGGAATTCATATAAAACGGAATACAGTCGACCCCCCCCTATAACACTGTTAATAATTCGTTTTATATGAATTCCATGTTGTACGAGTCACTTAGATTTTACAAATATGTGTGCCGGGCTGTGAACGGCTCACGTATTTGTATAATCTAAGTGACTCTTACAACATGGAATTCATATAAAACGGAATTATCAACAGTGTTATAGGGGGGTATACTTGTACTGTATAATATTAATTTTTTTTTAACCGTATAACTTTAATTATTTAGCACGTAATTTAAAGTAACGAACAATTAAGAAAGGGATGTGCTAATGATATCAATCTTCCGTGTTTGTTTACTTGGCTTAGGTTAATTTTTCTTCCCTTCATTAAATAGAGACGTTTGAAAAAAAGAAAAGGATATTTTCTAGTTTTCTTTCCTTGTAGGACATTTTTTTTCCGCAGTTTTTGCCCGTTATTTTCTCGGGAGGATGCAGATCCGACTCACATATTAGGACCACCAATGGAGAGAACGGAAAAATAATGATTGATAGTTAGAATGAGTCACTTCTGATCCGCTGGGTGATTATCTCGTGTTTAAAATGTGGAAGAGAAATGGATCAGATTAGAATGTTATGTTTATTATACAGATATTTTATATAAATATATCAGTAGAGATTATAATTAGGGGGAGAGATTAAAAGTAAGGATAAAGAGATATATTTTTATTGATTCATTTTCTCTCTCAATCCCAAGGTGTAAATTTGAAAGAAACAAAGAAAAAAAAAAAAAACATAATATTTAACTGTAATTATTATTGTAAATTCTAAAAGATACTCGAGAAACTTTTTCCTCCCACCGCATAGAACTGGTGCGAGATAAATATGCAATTTATAGGCCGGCATATTAAATTATGCTAACAAGTATGCTGATATATGATGTAATTGTGAGAACAGTGACGTAACGAGGGAGAATGGAAGAGGCATATCTGAAAGGCCATTATGAACTCTTGTAAAAAATTAACAAAAAAGTCAATTTATTATTGAAAACGTTTTAAAAAATTCGCCATTTTATCCATCAGTGCATGCCGTTAAGACACGCATAATTATAAGCCCTATATATACATATATAGACCCCGGGCGCCGCAAATCCACAATTGATCTCTCATCTTTGTATGAGAGATCAATTAGTTTAAAAATGTCTTTTCTGATTGTCTTTTCGGCATTTTTCTCATAACGTTAATAGTCGATGTACCAAAGAAAAGATGAATTCTTTTCCCCGTTTTTTTCTCGATAAATTCCAAAATAAGGATAAAGAAATAAAGAGGAAAGGCATGATTGGAGGTTTTTTTCCTCTCTTGTTATGTCAAAAAAATTGATCAAAGAGAAGATTTGCAGATTAAATCACACTTCAGTTACGAATGGCAAAATACAGAATGATTCTTTTGATTTAGTCATATCATTGATTTAATACTGGTGAATAACTTGATTTAATTATCAATATTTCATGACAGTGAATAAATTAACGTTGAAAAGGTCACGTTAAATCAAAATTTGTGATAATGAAATATAATTCTAGAGAATTTTATCTCTCTCTCTGTCTCTCTCTCTCACCCTCCCTCCTTAATGAAAACATAATTATACAGTAGACCCCCCTATAACGCGGAGATACGTTCCTCGTTATACGAATTTCGCGTTATAGGGGTGTCTACTGTAATAATACAAAATATATAGTAAAATTCTGTTTAAATTTTAAAAAAGAAATCGTTATCGTAAATTAATATAAACATTTATTACATATTTGTTTATAAAATAAATTGTGCAATTTCGTCCATTATCCCAGCTATGGGGTAATACGATATGCAATTTGAAAGCCATTTTATTAGACTTAATTAATTATAAAAGGTCTTAAAGTTAATTAAAGTTAATTGGGAAGACTCGTGATACATATACGCCACCTGTGAGTCGAGTAGACGAAGTGTATAAACTTCGAAACCAGTTAAAAAACTTGGCAGAATTGCAAGAGACGAGGTTCAGTGTAGCTTATAACGTGTTCACTTGCAACATTACAAAATGCTTGGCATCTTAGCTCTGTTCGTAGGGTTCAATGTTTTATATTACGCGTCATCTAAAGCAGGTTAGTATACTGATTTAATATTTAAATAGATTAATTTTTATCAGGAAGATAATTAATTAACGAATTAGATCATATAAAGCGAACGACATTTATTAAGTATGTTAAATCTGCCAGATGTTTAGTCATTAATATACCGATATCGTATACGTATTCTTTTTTTTTATCCCCCACTACGTATTAATTCTTCATTAATTAATGATTTATAAGATACTAAATTCCGGAATGAGATTAAGTAAAAAAGAAGAAGAAAATGCGGATATTCAACGTTAAAATTAATAACTTTACCTTGATAAATTCATTTAAAGATTGTCTTAGAAAATATTTGTAACAATAACGTGTGAGAATATACTGAGTAAGTTTTAAAGTTTTAGCGATTTAACTGAAGTGTTTCTATTTAAAAAAAAAAGAGGAGGAAGAAGAAGAAGAAGAAGAAGAAGAGAAAAAAAATTCTTTTTGTAGATAGGTCTATACTTTATTTACTTTTAGAAAAAGATTACTAGCTAAAAAGATTTAGTTGCTTCAAGAAATCAGATATACAGTATTTCTTTATACCCCAATGGAAATGAATCCATGCAGTTTTTATTGACCAAAGCGTCAGTGGAAGACATTTCTTTCAAATACCAAAGTACAAAGACGAACTTTCGCTCTTGTTTACTTTTAGATTTCTAGAGCTAAAACTATTTCTCAAAAACTATTGTATATTAAGTAAAAGAATTGGATGTATGTATATAATATTTTCTATTCTGTAACGTATATATCTTATATTAAAAAGCAAAGTTTCCGAAAGGCAATTATTCTGTAAAAATCCAGAGAAGATTTAAAAAAAAAAAAAATAAATAAATATCTTTCTCCGTTTCAAATAAAAAATTTAAACGTTAAGTCACCGAAATTTTATATGGAATTTTACCTACCGAACCATTTACTTATATCCTTCACAAGAAAATAATTGAAGAGTGACGATTCGCATCATCAAAAGGATTGATGAAGAGTATTAGGATGTGCCACATCCGATTTTCGAGTTGGGAAATTATGAATAATTTCTCTCTCTCTCTCTCTTTTTTTTTATCATCTGTCTTTACTTTTTTCCAGTTCCAGTTAAATTAATATTTTTTAAATATATAAAAATAATTATGTAGATTTAAATTCCCAATATGCATGAATATATATACACAGGGCCCGCTCAAACGTCAATTTTTAAAAAAATTTGAATAAAAATACATGTATTTTAAGCTCCATTATACCTTTCTTTTAGGCTCCACAAAATCTCCAAAGAAATCTCTTATATAATGAACCTATTATAAATTTTCTAGGAGATTTATGTGTTTCCGGACGTTTGCATACGTTTACAGTATGATATACGGTCGAGGAATATGCATAAACTATAATGTATCACTCATATATAACATATGGAAATTTCGGAAATATCAAAAGCTTAGAATTGTTAGTAATATCATTAATACTGTTATACATATGGAAACTTAAGGATAGAGGAGGAGGAGGAGGAATGAACAAGCAACACATGGAAACAAATCCATATTAAACAGACAGTGCTTTATGAATGTTTATTATTCTAGTTGTTATTGGTTTGTAAAACTGGGATTTGTTATTTGTAATACTTGCAGATGTTCGCAGTTTTCATTCTAGAAAAATATGTCCTGTGTTTGTTTTTATAGTTTCGATTTTTAAGTTAAGTGTCAAAGTTTATCGCCTGATTTTTAAAGTTTTTTTTTTCTTTTCTTTTCTTTCTTACTTGCTGAAATCAAATGAATAATTGAAAATTTTCAATTTCTATTGCTCATTAGAGACTTGCTGTTGAAATAAGTATTACAAAATTTAATCTTTAAGCTAAATGTTTCCTATAAATTTATAAAAAAAATTTGATGAAAAATATTGAAAGTTTTTCCTAGATTTTTATGTGCACAGAAATATTTAAATATTAAAATTAATTATAATTTAAAAATCTTTTAAATAATAAATTATATAAATAAGTATAATGTGTTATTTTAAATTTAAAGTTTTAAAATTGTAAGAAAGAAAAAAAAAATTTAATTATATTTTTCTTGCTTTTTAAATTTTTAAATAAAATTTATTTTCATTAATTTTTTTCCCTATCAAAATATTTAAATATTTTTGAAGTTATTTGCTAATAAAATTGACAAAGTTATAGCTTAAAAAACACTTTAATTAATAATTCACATTATATACTTTATAAATAAAATGTGAGCAAACATCATAATTTATTAAATGAAGCTTAAAAATTAAAAAATATATATATAAAATAAAAATATTTTACAGAAGTTTTTAAAAGTTTAATTAACATTTAGTCATTTTAATATATATACATTAGTGACAAA